ATAGTCAACAACAGATAGTATCTGTAGCCTTACCATAGTCAACAACAGATAGTATCTGTAGCCTTACCATAGTCAACAACAGATAGTATCTGTAGCCTTACCATAGTCAACAACAGATAGTACTTGTAGCCTTACCATAGTCAACAACAGATAGTATCTGTAGCCTTACCATAGTCAACAACAGATAGTATCTGTAGCCTTACCATAGTCAACAACAGATAGTATCTGTAGCCTGACCATAGTCAACAACAGATGGTACTTGTAGCCTTACCATAGTCAACAACAACGAATATTCAGTAACTCGGTGTCAGCTTCCATTTGTTTTTGTTTTTTTTTGTAGTTAGATTTCAGGACACGTAGCGGGTTTTAATGCATAATTTGTTGAAGATATCATTATGCTTTTGTTTTTTCTAGATAAAACTTGGTAATTTTCTTTAGGATACAAAACGACCATTATTTTAACACATTGTCGTATAGTGATTTACTGAGACACTGTAGTGTCAGTCAGTACATTATCTGATAGATCTCCAGAAATATGATAAGGAACGTGGACTTTTACGACCTCAACCTGTTAATGCAGAGGAGAGCACTAGATATAACGTTATTAACGATTTCCAAGTTTCTAGGCCATATTTGCACCCAGGCGTTTCAAGGTTACACTGCTCTACAGCGGAAGAAGTCGTCACAAGAAGAAATGACTGCAACTCTGCACAACTAAAGCGACTGTCAGTGAAGTAGGCGTTGTCATGGTCACGATGGGAGAGTCTAAGTTATCATCGACAAGGGAGAACAAGTAGTTTTATTGCTCTCTCTCCCCCTGAATATGGTTGATACCGGACGAGCCAATTACTGTCTTCCTCCGGCTCGTGAAGTTGACGTAAACAAAAATATAACTTATTATTTGATATACCTTAGTCTAATGATTATAAAAGTTAGTTTTACAAATCATGTACTTTGAACTTTACTGAGTTTGTAACTCAACTTAATAGTACTGATGTTGACTTCACAAATTCCAGATTAAATGAGAAATTCAAAGGAAAAAGATGTGCCTACATCTGGGGCGAAGTCAACACTACAAAGTGTTTGTGAGAGGTCTTTTTTTTTTTTTCCAAAAGCAATATGGACCTTTTCTTCTACACAAATAATTAAGTGGTGACATGAAGGTCAAATGTTTATTTTTTTAAAAATCAAACGGTAACGATCATTTTATAATATTTGGGGTGGTCCGAAGTGGCTTATTAGGGTTATGTAAATCCAAGTCTTGAAGGCCCATTGGTTAATGGTAGACGTTACGGGAACCTCGTACGCTTGAGGGAGTACTGTTAACAATACAAATGTTAACGATGTTACTTAAAATGATCGTAATGTGTAGAACAACAACAAATAAAGTTAACGCGTGTCAAACTGTTAAGCTTATCAAGACAATAATTTTTATTGAAAATATTATTTTATGCTGGTTTCGTACACCAGAGTTAAGAATATTTTATTACTACTATTTACACGGATGGACGAACAGTTAGAGAGACAGATATACAATGAAAATTATACTGATTATATAATCTACAACAAAAAACTCCTAAAACAGGAGTCAAGTAGACATAGAATAACTATTGTTTTTAGTGAGTATCACGGCCACAGTCACGCAGACTACATGAAGGGTGGAGAAGGCCTAAATCTTGCCCATAACTGTAGGTAATGTTCCCGAAGCCGAGGGAGACTTTGGCCTAATGAACTGTTTAACGCTAAATATGCCCTCGCTTTGTGCCGGATTTTCCAAATCTGCTGACCCCCACGGCACGGTGGCTCCCTGACCCGATATTAATCAGCCGTACGTTACAGTTGTTCCCTTACTTACACCTACGTTATATAAAAGAAGATACTGCGATTTGACATACTTAGGCCTAATACTGAACGAAAATATGCTCGAGAGCTTCCTGCACGCGCGTATCCCAGAAGGTATTATTTAAACAATCTAGATGTTGTCATTACCAACCGAATACCTTCGATTTTCATATCTTCCTGAAGTTTTACTGTGATAGTAAAATTTAACGTTTAATTGTATTGTGGCATTAAAATATAAACACTAGGCTAAAAACAAAATACATATAATACAGTTATCCATTTATTTTTTTCTACACGATCTGTTTTAAAAGTTTATCGCCTAACGCCGACTACACAAAACTTCGAAAATCTTTTAATGGTAGGCGGATGGATACCATTTTAAAAATATGTAGTAGTGATTGCTTAACAAAAACTTCGATTACTTCATAAATAAAGGAAAAACAGAAATAACCGAGCCTGCATTTGCTAAATATAGGGTAAATTGCCCGAGTAGGTTCCTGTAATGTATATCAATATTAATAGTAATTTCGTAAAATTTTAAAGGGGGAAAAAAGGGAGTTTATTAGCCCACCAAGGATGTCCCTTCTAGCTGTAACCACCCCTTACTACTCATGTATTCATCCAATTTTTTCTTGAACTCAGTTAAAATTTCTGCTTCCACCACCCTTGAAAGCAGCCCATTCCAAAAGCCAACCACCCTTTTTGAGAAGTTATACTGTCTAAACTGCAGACGACACCTACGCTGCCAATATCTGAACTTATGACCCTTTGTCTTATTGTTTTCACTGCTAAACACAAAAAAAGTTTGACGAATCTATATTATCAATAGCCTTAATAATCTAAAACACTTCAATCAAATCCCCTCTGACCCTTCTCCTCTCCAGAGAAAACATCTCTGGTATCATCCTAGTGGCTCTTCTCTGAACCTTTTCCAACAATTCATTGTCCTTCTTGAGGAAGGGAGCCCAAACTGTACATAGTACTCTAAACAAGGCCTTACAAGTGATCTATACAGTGAAACAATATTATCCCTTGTCTTGTATTCAGTATTTCTATAGATGTTACTCAAAATCCTATTAGCCCTATCGCTAGCTACAAAACACTGTTTAGATGACTTAAGTAATTTTTCAATCTCATACTTTTTGTGTTAACCTGGTAGTTTAGTGTATAATTACATGAGAAGTTATTACAAACAGTGGATTAAATCAAATATATCACATAATTAAAAGCCATAATGAAGTGTACATGTAAACATGTCTTAAACTTTGATTTAATTCAGAAAAATAATAATAAAAACTAACTTTACATTTACCAGAGGAGGAGTATAGCACTCCCAGATTCGTGTGGCGAGTTTAAAACTCAATCTATTGTACTGTAGTGAAAACTATTATAAACATAAAAGTCGCCAGTCTGTAATCTCCCTTGATAAGAATACTGCTAGTACATTACTACTGGCTGTTCAGCGCGTGCAGTTTGTATCACTATACTTGGTGTATCGGCCCACGACCAGAACCTATGAGAATATGTACAAATATTTGTTTTTCAAGACATAAACTGAAAGAACATGAGGCCAAGTGACTAATTTGACAACTATACTCAACTTTCAAGTACTACTATTATTTTATTAAGAACGCACGCCATCTATTAGCGTGCATTTCAGTTGCCTGGAAAAGAAACCTCGCCTACATTTTGTAACAATACATACAAGGTTTCCCCTTATATAAAAACGAGTTGGTTACCAGGATAACGATGATGTCACAAGCCTATTCAATGCAAAATTGAGAATGACTGATATTGCTGCACTGCGCAGGTAATATAATGACGTTAACTGAGGGAGCACGTGCATTAAGTACACGGCCTTCCCTGAAATGTAGGCTGTTTATTTGGGGTAAACTGTCGTTCAAGGTAACATACAGAGGGTTGGCCGTGAAAAGTAGGTAAGTAGGCTCTGAAATTCAGAGCTGTTGTTAAGGGAGAGAAAGTGGAGGTCGTTACTGTTTGGAAAAAGTGTAGTTACAGGAACTCGGTACCAAAGCTTACGCCAGGAAGGTTAAGTGTGCGTTAGGCCTAAGATTTTTAAGTGGAATAACTAAGTATATTATTTACATTCAATTT